ACAGCAGAACAAGAAAGTATGATGGAGTTGGCCAAGCTTTTCCCCAACCATCTCTTAACTCGGTTTCCTGGTTTTGTGGCCAGAAATGCCAGCACCACTGTGATTGTTTTGGCCAAAACAGAAGACACAGCTACTGAGAAGACAATGCTGAACACTGTTTGTTGGAGAAAGCAGGTGGCTTTTCTTGGTTGTCCAATGAAAAGAAAGGCAGACAAAGAACAGAACAAGAGGGAGACAATGAGGATGTAGGAGATGTCCCGGTTGTTGGCTTTGACAATGGGAGATTCTCGGTATTGAATGAATATGATTAAAACAAGGCCTGTGGATAGGAACAAAAGTGTGGCGAAAGAGACCAGAATGATGCCCAGATGTTCTTCATAAGTGAGGAAGGTTATAACTTTTGGGATACATTGGATTCTCTTCTTTGGATATTGATCATCTGGGCACTTGGTACATTTTTCAGTATCTGAGAAAAGAAAATAAGTTTTTAATAGTAGTTCCTTTCAAAATTCAAGACAGATCTGATTACAGCTGTTATTGAGAGACTGGAAATCCATACTAAATATTCAATAGGAGAATGTACATACACATGTACCAGTGATGGCTAACCTTTTTGGCACTGTGTGCCAAAATTGGAGTGCACGGGCACCAGAGCACTGAAACTTAGAAAAGAGTAGCTGACTGGAGCACATGTGCGCTGCTGCCAGCTGCTCTTCTGGGTTGCATTGTGCACATGTGTCATATAGCTGGTTTAACCCGCATGCGCACCAAACTGCTGCTCTCTTCTGGGTTCCGGTGCGCCACACATGGCAAGACCAGCTCGCTGGCGCGCACACTTGCGATGGAACCTGGAAGAGCAACTGGTGATGGCACACAAGCCCACAGAGAGGGCTGGGCATGCCACCTCTGGCAAGCCTGCCATAGATTCACCCTCACAGATATATCCAATAATTATACAATTATATACACAATCATATAAAGAACAACAAAAATCAAACCCAAAAGAGGAATAATGTCATCACAACTACCCTTCTCTGAGGCTACCCACATTTTCATCAGGCTCTGACTTCACCGTATTCCAAAACCTGGGAGAACAGCCATTTCTTAGTTTAATAGTAATACTTGATTCCTTGATTAATTATTTCTTTCTTTCATTTCTTTCTTTCTTTTTTCTTTCATATATGTATGTATGTATGCATGTATGTATGTATGCATGCATGTATGTATGCATGTATGTGTGTATATATGTATTTGTTCATTTATTTGTATGCCACCCACCTCACCAGACACAAATTTAGGTTTCTTATAGACATCCAATTCAAAAATAAATAAGGATTACAAATTTAAAATTCAGTTAAAGTAAAACTAACTAGGATGGAGAAGGAGGGAGCAAAGTGTATGCTGGGTTTTCTCATAACCCTTGAATCAAACCTCCCTCCCCCATCAGTTGTTCCAATTAGATCTTTCTGCTTCTGTAGCTTTATGATCTTGAAGAAAATTGATTGATCGATGGACCTTTTGGATTGTAAGATAAAGTTAGTTGGATAACAAGTGCAGCTGAACTGAAATCACTTCTCAAGTTTCCAAGGACTTAGATTTTCCTAAGAAAGGTAAACATGGAAAGAAACTTCAAGACTAAGAATTGGAAAAGATATTCCTCCTGCAGAAGTAACCTCAATCCATCATGTCTTCCTATCTCTTCCTAACTCATTCTTCAAGATATTTTTTTATTCCTCCTGCAATGTTGAAAATTAAGAACAAACAAACAGTCAAGCTTAGATGAGTCTTTTTTTAACATGCACATTGACCACAATGCTGTGGATAAATTCAGTACCATATCAGTTACCCACCTTCCTGAGTAGAGATGGTCCCCTCTGGACAAGGAACACAATCACAGCAGCAAACTGGCTCTCCTTCTCGAGCCTGCTTGACAAATCCAGGATGACATTTTTCCACACATTTGGACTGAGGAAGAGTCTAAGGAATAAAACAATGTGTGAGGACTCAACATCCATGGAAAATGGATGTAGACAGGAATATTAGCCAAGCAACTGTCAACTTCGGACCGAACCTGACATAAGCCAGTTTCCTATTCTTCAGTTGCCACATAGAGGGGGGAAAGGGGGAAGGAAGTTGGAATGTATTACGAGACATTACCTCAGAGGTGGGTTGCTCCTGGTTTGGCCTGGGTTGGGTGAACCGGTAGTGGTGGCAGCAGAAAGCTCTG